GAAGAGGTATTAGAAAGAATAGGAGAACAGAAGACTCTATGGAAGACAATAAGAAATAAGTGAGATAGGTTGGTAGGACACCTTGTCAGGTATGGAGGTCTACTCAGAGACATAGTAGGGGCAGAAACAGGAGTTAGGAGTAGAGGTAGACCTAGATGAGATTACTATTCACAAATAGTACAGGATGTGGGATGTTCTAGTTTTAGGGAAATGCGAAGATTAGCTCAAGATAGGAAAGAGTGGAAGTGCGTCTCCAACCAGTCTTAGGATTGACGACCTTATGATGATGATTTCGAGATATTTTTTTCCAATTCTGCAATAGGTAACAGGGGTTCCTATTAAAAAAAAAAAAAACAAAGTTAGATACCATACAGTCCTACCACAGTCCCGCACGCGGTGCCGGGCTGGTTTTATATAGGTGATTTATCGATTTGATTTTTCCCTGAAGGGATATTAAATAAAAGCACTTTTATAGAACTTTGGTAAGACCCGGATCAAAAATTCTTTTAAACCATTTTTGAACGTATTTTTTTCCGTAAAATTGAGATTCTGCAATACCTATTTAAAAACCACAATTGGGTACCACAGGGCCACATTAGGGTCCTAGACACAGTACCCAGCTACAGAATCAGAATCTTAGAACCCAACAACTTTTGTAGATTTGTCATTTATTGTTTGGTTGCTTACACGCCGAGATATTTACCGTTGTAAATTATATTAACAATTTATAAAGTTCGATTACGATTTTTAAGATTGTAGATTCAGCTAAGGAATTCTAAAAAGTAATGTGAATTGTAACAAAAACGAAAGAATTTTTCGGTAACGCCGTCGCTTTATTTACACAAATTAAAGATATACAAAACTTGCGATGTTACACATCGTCGTCTCTTCATCTTCTGTACACAAAAGGCGCACACGTTTTTCAGAAAAAAAAAGGAAACTGCCGTGTGGCCTTTGGCGAGACCAGCTCGAGTTTTCGAAAAGGAAAAACAATATACAAAATAATGGCAATGGGACCACTTCAAATGTGGTCGATTATAATAATATAAATGAGATGACTTAACCTATTCCTAACTATAACATTTCAGGGGAATACGGGGAACTAAGAGCTGACCTCGTTCTTAAAAAGTCATCTTCATAATAACAAATTAATAATTAACTATACAGTTACAGTTATGTACAATATACATACATATCATACGTGTTTTTTTTAAATCAATATTTTCATTTGTTAGATGATCATTAAAATAAACTAACGCGCCTCATGTCAATCACAGGTCTCTGGGAAAAAATCTAAGGATTTGACAAAACAACACAATTTCTAACTAGATTAAATATGGCTAGGAGTCCATTTTAAGAGAAGAAAAGCTGTAATAAAACTTGCTTCTTCATGCATGTTCATCGCTATCAAAATTATTTCATTATTGTCATCACAATTTTCTTTTTGATTTCTGTTCAAAAATATTTGTTTAGGCGATAAATTGACAAAATTACATATGTATGTAACTAAGGAAAAACATGCACGAATTACACGCTTGTAAGCAAATAGTAAATAGGTAGTATAGCAAGAAGTACTTTAATTCAATTGTTTTTATGTTTCAAACGTCACGCTCTGGTTAACACATTTTTTATTAACACATAACAATGATGAAAAATGGCGATGGCTTTTTAATATTAGCAATTAATAATTCATCTTCAGCTATTATAATCATAACAAATCGCATTGTATGAATTAGAAAAACCGAAAATCAATCCGACTGATGAATCCGCACGCTGCCAGTATGAAAAATGATTGAAAGTCTTAATAAAAAAGGCGCGCAGTAATACAGAATAAATCCCAATGACTAGAAGAGTTAATTAATTAACGTGAATAGTAATAATTTAATTAATTACAAATAACAATAGTAGATATGAAACACGTCCTTGCGTTTTTTTTATTTAAATCCATCGATCTACTACTTCTTCTCCAACTGAAACAGATAAAAATCGAAAATCGATATTGAAAGGCTGCAGATAGATACACAAAGCAACAAAATTGTTACAGGTTGATTACACATGATTGTTAATGGAAAAATTGCGGGTAGGTTTTTAGTTTGTGCAAGTGATACACGTAGAGAGAGAGAGAGAGAGAGAAAAATAGTGCTACAAGGGCTTAGTAGGTAGGGTCTTCAATTCGATGGAAGCTAGCACCTGGTTCTTGTCAGGATTACTAGCCGGGGGACAATCTTATTCTCTATACATGGCTCGGGGTGCTGTGGAAATAAAAAAATAAAATTAATAAGGGTTCATTCAAAAACTGTTTACTATAAAAATGTTTTAATCACGAACAAATTTCTCTAAAATTCATATTAAATTATTGTCGTATGTATGTAAAAGTTTTCAATGAAATTATTTTGTAAGTTTATTCCAGAGAAATTGGTCCTAATGATTATTAATTACCTTTAAATATTATTACTATTTTCTCTTTGGGGGTACCATCATACATAAATGAAGATTTTCGTCATTGTTAATTTTAATAAGGCAAATTTTGGATCAATAATTTAGTTTGATTGTTTCGAAAGTTACAGATTTTTTAAAGTTATTTAATCTTAAACATTGGGTTGTTAAAATTGATTAATTAATTTTGGGGCTATTCTTACACCACAAGTATCCAATTTTTAAATTCTTAAGCAATCTTATCTTACCTTTCTAGCTTTTTAAATTTTTTCAGACATCGTATCATGATAGTCAAATTTTAATTTCGTTTTTAATTAAAAATTATTTCAGCACTGAATTTTAAATTTTTAAAGAACGGATAGCATATGATCATATTACGTATAAAATATATTAAAAAAAAAAATTGCAAAGTGTTACGTACTTACTGTTAGAATGTTCCTTGGTCCTTATATTAATACTGTTGATACATATTTACATTGACTAAACGTTTAATAAAATCAATCAATTAGTTAGACACACTTACACACACTGGTAAAGGTATTAGGTGAACAATTTCCATGCAAATATTGCTGCTGACTTTTAAATTTCATAAATTAATTATATTA